CCTGAGGAACAAGGAACTTCTTTCTTCCTGGTGAACATTTCCTGTTGACCACACCACATATTGGCAAAAGAATCAGTCTAAAGTTCAGGAGACATGAATGCAAATTCCAGATCTGCCACATTGTGATTAATAATAAAGCAATACAAGGCAATATGTTAACTACTTATGTTCCTGGAACTGATGGCTTCACCTCTCTGTTTTTGTTTCTTCATCTGTAAAATGGCTGACAGTTACTCTCAAAGAGGTTTGTAAGGATGCAGTGAGATAATGTGTGGATGACTCTAATTAAAAAAAAAAAGTATTGAAGGATATGTATTTTACCAAAGAGCTCAAATGATCATCTTCAGGACTTTGCAGAGTCCACGTGGCACAGAGCAGGGATGTTGGCAAAGTTCCCGCTGATGGAGAATTTAATAGCCCATTTGGGAGGGCAGAATGTGAGGCCCCTGGTGATGCCTTATCTGTCACCTGAGATCAGGGTGTCTGTCTCCTGGCACAAATGTGACACCTGTTGCAGAAGAAACAACCCTGGCAGCTGGCACTCTGGGAGGAGAGGTCTGGTCAGGAGCAGGAGGAAGTTTCTTAGCAGAGGGCAATGGTAAGTGTCACTGGTTGTATCAGCACATTCTTCAGCTCCAGATTCCCCCCAGGGGGCTAAGCAATGCCTGGGTATCCACTGGCAGGGTTAGTACTGAGACAAGGCATGTGAAGAAGAGGAATGAATGCCCAGTGTAATGCCTGATGCCTAGCTGGCACTCAGTGACTGTTAGCTGAGAGGCATGATGGTGATGGGCAGGGACACAGAGGAAGTGTTAGCTATTGCTTTGCTGTCACCTAGCCACTGCTGGCCCACAGTCTGCACTTCTTTGATTAGTAAAGCGTGGAGAAAACACAGAGAGTGAGTTACTGGCCATTTGCACTTTACAAAATTCTGACTCCCAACTTGGAACCTCCAGAAATTGTTAGGGGAAGGACTACTCATCAAATGCTGACCGAGTGAGCCACCACGCAGGGTCTGGCCGCTGGATTCAGTCCTCACAGCAGTCCTAGGGGGTAGGTGTTTTTCTCCCCACCACGCAGATGGAGAAAGAGGTTAAATGACCTGTTTGAGCAGCAGCTGTTTAAGCGTAGATACACATTAGATCCTTCTGACTCCAAAACCTTGCTTGTCTTTCTTCTACATTGTGAAGTCTGCAAAGGGAATTTCCTGCTCCTTAAATTACCAAAGGTTGGGTAGTTGATGATTTTGTTTCCAAGCATCTCAAAGCCATCCAGACTCAGCTGTGACCTGGGGCAGGTTTAATTTACAGATTCCCCCCCAAATCCTATCCCTCACCTAGTGGGTTTGTCCTTGGTCATTGACAGAGCCACTTCTTGCCTTCTTTTCACTCGTTGAAGGAAGTAAAGACATTGTATTCTGTCTATTGCAATATTGGAAAGAAACCAGTACAGCTGAGCTCAATGGGGAATAAAGCAGGCAGCTAAGGATTTATAGCTAGCAAGCAGAGCCGGGGGTCAGGGGATGGAAAATTACCAAGAACATCAAGGGTAAGGACAGTCTTACTGAAGTGACCTAACAGTAGTCTGGCTTAAGTAGGCCCAGGACTTAAACATCAAGGTGGGAATTCTTGCTTAAGAGACTTAACAGGAGGGCCTCCCCGGTGGCGCAGCGATTGAGCGCTGGGTTGCGAAGCTGCTCGCAGCCTCTGCAGCGCCAGTTCGATCCCTGGCTGCTTCCCGGCCACCGGAGGAGGGTCCCACATGGCGCGCAGACCTCTCCTGCCGCCCGCTGCTCCCCTCAGCAGTGAACTTCGGTCCTTCTGCCTGCTCTGCTCCCCGCTCTGGCTCTGGTGAATTCTCTCACCCTCCCGCGCTTCTGACTGTACCCAGTGCGTGTATAAATAAATAAAGAAATCTTAAAAAAAAGAGAGAGAGAGACTTAACAGGATTCATCCGAAAACTGGGGCTAGGCAAGCTAAAGATAGCATGCAAGGACAAGGTCTAGTCAAAAAGAGGGCTCAGTAGAAAGCCTGTCCAAAAATTTGGTCAAAGAGAGTTGTTATCACTTTCCAGCAAATGCCAGGACAAGGTGTGCTGAAGACCCGCAGCAATGACAGTTCTGTGACCTTGGGGTAAGTTGTCTCACTTTTGGTGTGACTTCCAAGAGTCAAAGAATTTGGGTGTTGATGGAAATCAGTCTATGAGCATCAAGGTGCATCTGGGAGGTAGTGTAACTCCCATGGATGGGGCAAAAAACATCTTTATTAATTACTTACAATTATTTCTAGAAGTAGATGGACTTTAGTCATAAAACGTACGTCAAGAGAGATGACCTAATCACTCGGAGTCAGAAGCAAGGCCTGCCCCTCCCTCTACCACTCATTGTGACTCATTTGTCACCCGGGCACCTGAGTCCCCTATCCACTAGCCAGCAGTGCTTGGGCTTGGGAAGGGAGCCAAGATGTGTCTGTATTGGGATTAACAGATGAGCAAGCAGCTTGCTCCTGAGCTCATCCAGAAACATCGGGTTTAGGTCTGACAGCATGCTTCCTTTTATTCCTCTCTCTCTCCCATGCCCTTACCCCACTTCACTGGTCTCAGAATCCTGCTTCCTTAGAAGGTCCCCCAGCACTGAACTTGTCTGACCTGTTAGTGATTACCAGCCATCCAGCCATGGAAACAGGAGAGACCTTGATGGCAGAGGGATAAACCTCAGAAGTCCCTATAAACATAACACAAGCCAGATTTAATACCTGTGCAGGAACCCAAAGGCACAAATCCTCAGCTGAGACCTCTGCCCCTGGGCCTTCTCAGAGTATGTGCCAAAAACGTGCCCACAGGAGAAAATGTAGGTGGAATGAGAAGACACTGGCTTGAGACAAAGAGGCTCCCTGTCTGATCCTGTTTTTTTTATTTTTTTTTAAAGATTTATTTATTTTTATACAAGATTTGGGGTACAGCCAGAGATGTGGGGGGTAAGAGGATTCACCAGAGACAGAGTGGGGAACAGAACAGGCAGACAGACTGAAGTACACTGCTGAGGGGAGCAGCAGGCGAGATAGGAGAGGTCCCGCCATGTGGGCTTCTCCCTGGCCAGCCGGGAATCGAACCCGTGCTGCAGAGGCTGCGGATTGCTTCATAGGTTGCGTCTTAACCCCTGTGCCACCAGGGAAGCCCCTGATCCTGGTTTTGAAACAACTAATTCTGTGACTGTAAACTCTCAGCTCCTCTTTCCCCATCTGCAAAATGGGGGTAATCAGACCTGTCCTATCCCATAAGGATCCCTGAAGGCTTAAATGAGATCATGCCCGTGCAATGCTTAGTAAACATAAAGAGCCACTTAGGGCCTCCCTGGTGGCGCAAGGGGTTAAGCACAGCACTATCAAGCAATCCACAGCCTCTGCAGCATGAGTTTGATCCCCAGCCAGCCAGGGAGATTCCCACATGGCACAGCAGACACCTCCTGTCCCACCTGCTGCTCCCCTCAGCAGTGTATTTCAGTCAGTCTGCCTGTCCTGGACCCCACTCTGATTCTGGTGAATCCTCTCACCCCCTGCACCTCTGGCCTGTACCCCAGCTCTTGTATGAATAAATAAATAAATTTTTTTTTTTTTTAAAAGAGCCACTTAAATGTAGCTATAAGAAAAGCAACCTCTTTCCTAAGTCAATTATATAAATACTCACTCAGTCCTGCAAAATACTGACGTCGGCCATCTGCGGGCCCGTGTTTGTGGCTTGTGTTCCTGTGTGTCTGGTTGGCCTTCCGTGGCTCTTGGTTCTTGCATGCCAGTTCCTGGAACACTTCTGTTTTCAGCCAGCTACTGGCCCCCAGTGGTCAGTGTTGCCAGTCTAACTCCTGTGCAAGGCCCTCCATAGTATCTGGGAACAGCTAAAGGAGCAGTTAGAGGTTTCAGTGGAAATCATCTGAATGCTTAGATTCTAGTCTTAGCCTTGTGGCAATTTCCTGAACAAGTCTAGATAAGTCATTTGACCAGCTGGGCCCATTCTGTGCATCTGAAGTGAGAACTAGCTGATATTGAAAGGCCCTGCTGGCTCTTACTGGTCTACAATACCCATTGATGGCCAATCTGGATTGCTTTCATGTATTCCAATGTATCGGATTCACAGTCATCTTTACAAGGTCTCCTTGATGCGTTGGAGGCTCTGCCCCCCATGAATGACAGCGCTGACCAGTGAACTCTGACTCCCCTACCCTCACCCTCAACACAGCTCTTGACTTTCTCTGGTTGTGAATGCATACTTACATCCAAGTTCCTGTCTTCCACCACTCCCCATGGAGCAACTCTGAGTCTTCCTGAACATGTATCAGTCAGCCAAGCCCAAAGCCTTCAGCATGCAGACAGCCGTCAAACAGCCTCCAGATCAATCCAGGCACAGCAAGGCCCTGAATTACTTCTTAGATCTCCAACAGTTTATCAATTTGTTTGACAGATACAAGCCCTGGACCCGCCCTTTCTTGCCTCCCCTGGCTCTGGTTCCCTCCAGAGACTCAATGATAATGCTGGGCAGTTCCACCTCAATGCTTAGACAACCCTGCTGTCTCCCTGGGTGTGGAGGAAAGGGAACTGTCTTGGGAAGCTGAGTTCTACTACCTTTCATAGCTCTTTACCCTCAGGGAGCTTTGGGAGATATCAGCCTCGAGAGCAACTGGGCAGAATCAACCTGGAGTGGGTTACCAGTGGGAGGGCAAAGCTCCATTGCCACCTGACCTGGGTCCTCTGATTTATGGAAGACAGCAAATTCTAATTGGATATGAGCTCATATCCTCTCTCTCTGCCCTGTTGACCTTGGCCAAGGTCAAAACTATCTCCCAGCATTCCCCCACCCCATCAAACACACGTACATTTCATACCTACTATATGAAGAAGGGTGAGAAGCAACAGAGGGAAGGTCCTTTCCGCTATTATTACTCCCAATTTTATAGATTTTTGAATCTTCATATTGTGTTGACCTCATTCCTCTCTTTCTTCCCTCCATAGGATATGGCAGCTGGAGAGAACTGGCCAAGGCTCTGGCCAACAGGAACATTCCAGCAGTTGATCCAAATATCCAGTTCTACCGCCCCCAGGGACTGGGCCTTAAGGTATATTGAGAGCAAGGCCATCCCATCCCCCTACAAGGGGATTAGACCCCAAGGGAAACCCCCACTTCTCTGTGCTAAGAGGCAGAGGAGAAAGAGTCCCCAGAATTGGAGTCAGCCATCACAGGATGTCCTAGCAGGGTGGGCAGAGATGTCCATCCTGCCCTCCTTGAAGTTTTTGTCTCAAAGCCCTTGTCTCCAGGCGCCTGCCTCCACCTCTAATGGTAGCTGTGGGCTTGAGGCAGCACCAGCATGTTCCACCTCTTGCTGCCACGGGGACTGGACTCGTACTTGAGTGACAATTCTAGATGATTGCTCCCTAGTGTCAGAGATGATGAGGTAGACAGGGAAAGCCTTGAGGTACAGATCTGTAATGGAGTGTTTTCCCTGTCGTGTTTCTTGGGCCTGTGGTCCGGAGGGAGGCAGGGTGAGAGAGGGAGGGTAAGCATTAGGGAAACTAGGGTCCAGTTCAATCTGGAACCCAAAGGTTGAGCCTCTGAGCCTAGAACAGACATGCATCTCCAAGGCTGGACCGGAACCTAACTCATCTCATAGACCTGCGCTGTAGGGAAGGGCTGGGGTGTCCCCATGGGGCTCCCACTTGTTAGTACAAGTGAGTAACAAATCTGGGCAGAGCCCTGGGGGGAAATAGAGGAAGAGTGAGTCAAGGTCCCTGCTCTCAGGAGATGCTGTTTTAATTAGAAAAAAAATTTTTTTCCCATATGGGAAAGTTCAGGAAAGTAAAGGCAGCTCAGGAGCCCACACTGATGAAACAGTAAGCAGGCGTATTCCTGGGGATAGCGTGAGATGACCCAAAGGGCGTGTCCTGCCAGTGAATAAGCTTCTTGGGGGCAGGGACTGGGTTTCCTCACCCTCTGCTTCCTCACAGGAATTTCAGGGACCCCTGAATCCTGTTCTGTCCCCTTGAATTCCCTCCTAGTTCACTCTTCTCTCTTTGCTTCTCTCTTTGGCCAGGACCAAAGCCTGGAGCAAGGTGGGGACGCTAACAACAGCTACTTGAAGTGGAACAAGCCTGTGCCCTGGCTCTCAGAGGTAAGGGGCTCTCTGCTCTTGTTCTTTGAGATGGTTAAAAAAAATGGTTTTTACAGATTATTTCAGAGACCACAGAAGATTTTCCTTTCATGGTTGTTATTAAGAATTTTCACCTAAATAATAAAAATGGCTCAGTCAGTTCTCTTCCTTTGGAAAAAGTAACATTTGCTGTGGGTCTACCGTGCCCCAGGCCCTGTGTTTTATCTCTCCCCTTACCCTGTATGATGGGATTATTGGCCTCAGCTTGTAGGTGAAAAAAAAAGAAGCTCAGAAAAATTACAGGACTTTCCTATTTACCCACCCACAGTCTTAAAAATAGGCTTCCCCAAATTTTTTCTTGCACCATTAAGTCCTATAAAAGATTCCAGGAAGATAAGAATCTATTGTGTAAGTAAGATTTAAAAACTGTATACTATAGCTACTTCTTAGAGAGACACATCAGCACATGAGAAGCTCTAAGAAGTTTCCCAGCGATCTGACTTGGTTTAACTTAGCACATGTCATACTTTTTCACCTCCTGAAATGCGTTTTTGCCACGAACTATCTATTAACTCTCTATGAAACTAGAGTTCCAGGAATATGCACTAGGAAAATGCTCTAGAAAAGTTTTAGAGCAAACAGTTATACATGGGAATAAAAGTTGTCATAATCATCCAATACCTTATATTAATATAGTTTTGACAGATGATTTTCCTTTGATGGAGAAACTGTGAAGCACACAAAAAACTACCTTCACTACATGTTTATGCAAAGACTCCACAGTAGCATGGTGTTTCAGGGGTGACACTTCAAAATTTAAGTTCAATATTTTGCAACTTGTTACAGCCTCACATTTAGTTCCCCAAGCCTGTGGATATGGGTTACTTTTCTTGGCTGGGTGGTACTGGCCAGCCAGTCTCTATCACGATGGACCTTTGTAGCCTGGTGATTTTCTTTCCAACTCCCCATTTGCTGTGGGCAGGACTGAAGGAGTCAGTATTATGCTAGATGTGCTGTTAAGTCATCCACACCGTGAAACTGCCTCTGTTTAAAGTCCCTAGAGAGGATGGATTACTATGCTGGCGGCCTGCACTAGGTGACATCATCAGGTGGTTAGGCCCCGCCCCGCCAGACAGTATTCTGAAAAGAAGGTGCCTTCTGGACCACTGGTCCAATGAGCCAGCCTTCTCAACTGGACCACAGTTGGGATTATTTTTCTTGCTCAGTTGTTTCAGAAGATTCTAACTACATAGCATTCTGCATTTATTAATCATTCATTCCCCTAGTTTTTTTCCCCACTCAAGATTAGATATATATATATATATATATATATATATATATGTAAACACAAAAAATAGTGAACAAGTGGTACATAGTGAGTAAAAGTTTAACTTTTTAAGACATGCGTATGGTCTTGGTGATAGATGACTGATTTCCACTGACTTTTTTAACATTAAAAGAAGCCTACAAAATCCTCATTTTAGGGGCCTCCCCGGGGGCGCAGCGGCTGAGCGCTGGGTTGCGAAGCTGCCCGCAGCCTCTGCAGCGCCAGTTCGATCCCCGGTCACCTGGTGAGGGTCCCACATGGCGCGCAGACCTCTCCTGCCGCCCGCTGCTCCCCTCAGCAGTGTACTTCCTCACTCTGCCTGTTCTCTCTGCTCTGGCTCTGGTGAATTCTCTTGCCCTCCCGCGCTTCTGACTGTACCCAGTGCTTATATGAATAAATAAATAAATCTTTAAAAAAAAAGAAATCCTCATTTTAGTCTTCCCGAATCTTCAGGGAACCACTGATCCAACCTCATTTTTTGACAAGGAAAACAAGGCCCTGGAGTTTGAGCAGCCAGAATGCAGTCACACAGCTGCAGTCATTCCAGCTCATGCTGGGCCTTTTCCCCACCCTGTCACTTGTCTCTGCCCTTTGCCTTCAGTTTCAGCAGGAAATGCTCAGGCTTATGACATATGTCATTTATTGAGCATCTACTAGCGGTGGGGAGCTGTCAGATCGTATTGATAGGTCCCCCTTTTCAGGTAATGCCTCAGAGAGGGCTTAACTTGCTCACTTTTCAAGGTAGAAAGCTAGTACTTAGCCTGCTCTGAGGCTGAGCGAGCAAGAACAGAATATCAAGCTGATGCTGGTCTCTTCTTTGACATCTCCCTACGCCAGCATGTGGCTGGCTGCTCTGAGGCCAGAGGTCAGCACAACAGCCTCGAGCCTTCTACGAGGTGTGTAGAAATGACTACAGAGACTGAGCAGAGTAGCTGACAGCAGGGCTGGGCTTCACAGGGTAACTGCACCCAGAAACTTATGACAACCCATTAATTAGCAAATCCCACCAATTAACAGACCTCAATTTTATTCATTTTATTCACTTACCAGTCAATATACCAGTGTACTTACCAAAATACTGTTATTCAGTACCCTCCCCCGGATGACCAAGAAAAGAATTTGCAAGGCCTCACATTTAGTTCCCAAAGCCTGTGGATATGGGTTACTTTTCTGTTATTCAGTACCCTCCCCCAGATGACCAAGAAAAGGATTTGGTGAATACAAAAAGCAGATTGAGGCAAGTCAGTGTTTCTGAGGATCATGCCATGTGGCTTTGATGCGGTGGGGTCTTTCTTGAGGACAGGGCTGGGACCCAGACCCCTCTTTTCTGGCTTTCCTTTTTTGTTTCAAAAATAGTTTTATTGAGCTATACCTCACATACCATACAATTTGCCCACTGAAGGTACAATTCCATTGTTTTTAATATATTCACCAAGTTGTGCATCTATCGCAATTTTTTTAAAGTATGTACTTTCTTTTGAAAGGTGGAGTCAGAAATAGATGCAAAAAGTGAGAGAGGTATACCCGAGCAGGGACTTGAATCTGGACCCTCACATTAAGTCTGATGCCCTACCGTATAGCTATCTGGGCCCCTTTCATAAGCTATTTTATTTTATTTTACTTTTTAAAGATTTATTTATTTATACAAGAACTGGGGTACAGTCAGATGCATGGGAGGGTGAGAGAATTCACCAGAAACAGAGTAGGGAGCAGAACTGGCAGACTGATGGAAAACACTGCTGAGGGTAGCAGCGGGTGAGGCAGGAGAGGTCTGCCATGCCATGTGAGATTCTCCCTGGCCCACCGGGAATTGAACCCTTGCTGCCGAGGCTGTGGACAGCTTCACAGCATGGCACTCAACCCGCTGCGCCACGCCCTTCATAAGCAATTTTAAAACATCTTTATTAGCACAGAAAGAAACCCCACACCCCTTACTGCCCTCATCCCCCTGACTCTAGACAAACAGCCATACACTTTCTGATTCTACAGCTTTGCCTGTTCTGGTCATTTCATATAAACAGGACATTCAAGCTGTGGTCCCCTGCCTCTGGCCTCTTTCACTCAGCATACGTTATTAAGGCTCATCCATGTTGTAGCATGTATTGGTATTTCCTTTTGATTGCTGAATAATATTCCACAGTGTGGGTGCCCTACAAGTTGTCTATTTCTTGATAGATGGATATTTGTTACTTTTTGGCCCTGTGACCAGTGCTGGGTTGTGTGCCCGTTTTTGTGTGGCTCTGGCCTTCACTTTTTCAAAGTCCTGAATCGCCATCATTATGTACTTCGGTCACCTTAGTGAGATACATGTCACAGGTCAGTGAATTAAATCCTCATCTATTTAAATGAGTGTCCTTTTATCCATTATCCGCCCACCACATGGGCTTCTGGCCCTTTCCTCGAATTCCAGAGCTACCCTTTATCTTCATGGAGTCTGTAGCTCAAGGGGACCCCACAGGAAGTGCCCTCAGAGGACAGGTGTGAACAGCAAATCAAGACACTGAGTAGCTAGAAGTAGAACAGGAGCCTGGTGCGCAGGATCCAGGGACCTTATTATCCCCTGTGTTGAGGTCACGGGCTCCAGCCTTCTGTTGCTTCTCTAGCGCGAGGCCTCACTGCCCCAGGAGTTGAATGGCTGTTGGCCTTGGGCTGTGAATCTTTGTGCATGGCAGAATGATACAGTGCAGGCTCAGTGAGAGCCCACATCCCACAATGGGCTTTGACCTCTGCAGGAGGTAGCGCTGACTGCCCCTGCCTTTGCCCTATGCATCGCAAACTCCCAGCAGGCCAGGCACAGATGACACCCATCTGTTTTCAGGTCTCTCTTTTGAGGGCCACGTCTCCTTCATCTTTAGCTGGTACAAAGCAGACCCTCAATGCACACAGAATAAGGGAAGGGTACGGTCAGGGCCTTCTCCAAATATTTTTTCATTCAAATGGGTTGTGCTGTGAGCACAGAGGGGAAGTCAGAGAGAAAGATTTGACGACAGTCTTGAAAGATGAGCAGGTGTTAGCCAAATGGGCCACCCACCCAGAAAATGGTGTTTGTGCAGGTAAGAGAGGTGACGGCGCGTGGCAGTGTGGTGTGGGTGGCGTTCAGGTGTGTGACAGGAGTGGTGTGAGGTGAGGCTGGGTCTTTTGTGCCAGGGTGAGCTTTTGCCCTGAGGCCTTCTGATGTCTGAAGCAGCAGAGGGACAGGGTCAGATCTGTGCTGGAGAAAGTTAGTTCTGCAGGCAGTTTGAAGAACTGGTGGAGCAGAGAAGCTGTGATCCATTTGGGGGGTTCTGCTGCAGCCCCGCCCACATAGTCCTGGCAGAGGCCATGTCATGGGCTGAGGGGTACAGTGGTCCTTCCTAGTGAGCACCCACTGGGCTGCCCTCACCCTCCTGCACCCATGCTTCTATATATCCTCCCCACTTCCTGGGGTTCATTGCTGTGTGTCCTTGGGGAGTCAGTTTACTTCTCTGGGCCTCAATTTTCTCACCTCTAAAATGAGAGGGTGCCAACAGATATTGTCTCCACTACTTTGACTGGACGTTCCGAATCCGTCATTGGCCATGAGTGTGCTCTGGAGATGGGAGCAACAGCTTGGTCCCTGCTAGATGGTGGCGAGAATGGGCAGAGGGCAGTGCTCATGAGCTGGAGCCCTGCATCCCTGCCAGAGTCAAAGTTTCCAAAACCTGGAGGGACAAAAATCCTGATGGGGTCATAAGTCTGCCCACTGATTCCTCATACCTGAGCCTGAGGGTGAGAGAAGTGTGGGTTGAGGGCTTGCTCTATGCTGAGTAAGGGCCTGGGCCCAGAGGAGCTGGATAGCCCTCTCCCTGCACTGCCCTCTCCCTGCCTGGTGTTTCCTGCAGTATCTCAGGCGCCCAGTGCAAGCTGGAAGGGCGGCGACAGCAGCCAGCTCAGCTCCCTTCTCCAGGCCTCTTTTCCCTGCCCAGTCCCCCGTGGCCTCTGGCCTCCAGGTTGAACACAAGTGACTTTTCTGCCAGACTGCCCTCTCTCCTCAGTGTGCTGCGGATCTCAGCACACTGCCCTGGAAGTCGCCCAGGGATGGCCATTGGAAGGAGACAACTGCATCTTGTAAAATGGCCTTAAAGAATTTCCCTAGGAGCATCACAATGTCCCCATTCTCTCCTTCCCAGACGCCATCTACCCAGCCCATATTCTCTCTCCCACCCGCCCCAGCCCCCCAACTCATACTCTCAGGCCTGAAAGGGGAGACATCCTCTGCACCCCCCTCCCAGTTTTGCCCCACAGCCCCAGGCACCTGTGGTTATTCTAGGAGAGCCTGGCAGGGTGGATTTTGAGCTCCCGGAGAGCAGTCCTGTGGCCCATTGTGTCGGCCGGGGCCCCTGGTAACGCCTGTCCTGCTTTCCCAGTTACTTCCCCACAGGGGCGCCACAAGAGTGGAACCACTGGGTAGATAAGGTTTCTCGGTAGACAGCTGTGGACTTTCCTCTTATTAGGCGTTAGGGGGAGGGGAGGAGAGAAAGTCTTCAGCTGACACCCCTCCCCGGGCCTCTGGCAAGTTCCCTTATCTCTGCCATTCTGTAGTGGCTGTCAGCCCCTCGCTGGAGGAATGCAAGCAGCCCCCTCCCTGCATGCAAAGAGCATACATGTGTGCACACATGCATGACCAGAAAAACAGACCAGGGCTTCAGGGCCAGGCATGGAAGGAGGTTCCTGAAAAAAGTCGAGGCTGGGAACAGGACTAGAGGGGCCATGAACTTCAGCAGTAAGAGGACCTCAGGGTGGGGCTGTGGGGCCTGTACATCTGTCTCCGTAGGGCCTCCTCAAGTCCAGGGCAGCAGGGATAGGTCTGAGGGCGACACTCACCCACCTGCTTCTCTGGCCCGTACAGTTCCGGGGCCGCGTCAACCTGCATGTGTTTGAAGACTGGTGTGGCAGTTCTATCCAGCAGCTCAGGAGGAACCTCCATTTCCCACTGTACCCCCACGTGAGTGCTGGCTGGGCCCACCTGGCCTTCTCCCTCTTCTCCTGTCTCCCGTCTGCCCCATCTTCTATCTTCTTCATCTTTCCTCTCTTTTCCTGGTACATTTTCTTTATCTCTTAGGTCCTCTTTCCCTCTGCCTATAACACCTAACTTGTTCCCCTGTCAGGGATTCCTTCCATCTTCCTGCCATGGTCTGCATCTCAGCTCTAGGCACTCCTCGTGGTTCACAGTGTAGTTTACCAACGGCCACTACACACAGTTGTGCTGGGTGTGCACTGTACAAGGTCACCTGGATACAGAAGCCAGAGGGAGCTTCCGGCTTCCTATTCACCGAGTCACATCCCAGTCCCTACTATTTTGCTCCCCTCCAGGGGAAGTCTTCAGTCCTGAGGGGGCCAATTTCCTCTTCCCTCTTCTGGGTAACAGTTTCCCTCCCCTTTCTTGGCACAGATCCGTACAACCCTGAGGAAGCTGGCCGTGTCCCCCAAATGGACCAACTATGGCCTCCGCATCTTTGGCTACCTGCACCCCTTCACTGATGGTGAGGCCAGCCTCAAGGTCCTATCCTACTTCCTGTTCCGGAGTTGTGTAGGGGACCCAGGGACCATGAGCCTGTAGCTGAGAAATCAGTGCGCACTTAGCTAATTAGACCCTGCTAACCCATCATCAGGGAGAGGGGAAACTGAGTCCAAGTGAAGTTGCATCAGTCCCTCCCCCAACCCACCATGTTGCCACTTCGCCCCTTGATTTGCAGAATCTGGAACTAGCTTGCCTCTCTCTAAGTCTTCTCCATGATCACATTGTCTCTCGGGATTTAGAAACCCCACAAAGAGGAGGCACCAAGCCCAAAGAGAATTTAATCAGGAAGACAAATGGCCTCTGCCCTTTGTGCTAATGCCCTTCTTGCTCTCATCTGGAAACTCTCTCCCCCACTACCCAGGGAAGATCCAGTTTGCCATTGCTGCAGATGACAACGCGGAATTCTGGCTGAGCCATGATGACCAGGTCTCAGGCCTTCAGCTGCTCGCCAGTGTGGGCAAGGTAAGGCCAACACAGCCCCGGGCCCAGAGCCAGTCAGTGAAGAGGCCCCTGTCTCCACAAGGACACTGCCATTACCATGAGTACCTCTGTGGGACAGCCAGGAGGAATGCCCTTCCTCTCACCACCGGCCCCTTTTACAAAGATAAACATGTGGGAAGGAGGAAGGAATCAGAATGTGACCAGGAAAGGGCCCCATCTCTGGGCAGGAACTGGGCCCCAAACATCTTTTGGGTTTTATACACTTAGCACGGTGCACAGGATTCTCCCTGTGGGGATGATGGCTCTGGCAGGGGTGCTTTCCTCTGGGGCTTACTCGGTCACCCCCTTTTTTTTTAAATATTTATTTATTCATGCATACAAGAGCTGGGGTACAGGCCAGAGGTGCAGGGGGTGAGAGGACTCACCAGAGTCAGAGTGGGGAACAGAACAGGCAGACTGACTGAAACACACTGCTGAGGGGAGCAGTGGGTGAGACAGGAGAGGTCTGCCTCGCCATGTGGGTAGCTCCCTGGCCGGCCGGGGATCGAACTCGTGCTGCAGAGATTGCAGACAGCTTCACAGCGCTGTGCTCAACCCACTGTGCCACCAAGGAGGCCACGCCCCTTAACTCTTCCTTTTTTCTCCTCACCCTCATCTTCCTTCCTCTTCCCTTATCTCACTTTTGCCTTTTTCATTCTCTCCTTGTCCCTTCATCCACTCTCTCATTCTCCCTGTTTTCTTTTTCTTCCTCCCTTCTCTTCTCTGGCCCCGTGCCTCTAGACGGGGAAAGAATGGACCGCCCCTGGAGAGTTTGGGAAATTTCGAAGTCAAATTTCCAAGCCAGTGAGGTGAGTAGGGAATGGCATGAGATTCTCTTGAGCAGAAAAAGCCCCGACTGACCTCCTGTGCTGAGCACAGATCCGAGGCAGAGGGCCCCTTGTGCACCACCCCGTCCACCCACTTGTCCCAGGGTTTGGAGTGCCTGGGCTTCCTGCGTTCTGTGACGGAAGTCAGACCTGCACCCATCTGGCCCATTCCTTCTTCTCTCTCAGATGAGGAAACAGGTCCAGTGAGGCGTGTACCCCACTTGGGACCCTCAGGTCTGGAAGCCCTCGCCTTTCCCATTTTCTCCTTCCATCCCTGGGAGTGTCCGCAGCTCCACAGCCTTGATGCTGGCTGCCCTGCCTTTGCTACAGAGAGTGATCTGTGCTAGGCCAGAGGGAAAGCCAGCCTTGCCAGCCCACCTGGCTGGAATCGCATCAACAGGCCAAAGACAGACTTTACCTCGATCCAGAGCGCCACCTGGCGGCCAGCGCATTCGGCTGCGCACATGCGGCGGCTGGACGGCAGCACTGATGTGCTAAGTCCACCTTGCAGAGAGCTTTTGCCACGTCACTCAGCAGAGCAGCTCACATGGGGATTCTGAAGCAAACTGCGTCCAAATCCCAACTCTACCACTTACTATCTCGGTGACTGGGAAGTTACCTGAGGTTTCTGTGCTTTAGTGTTCTCCTCTATAAACAAGGGTCATATAAAGCTCTTAGAACAGTGTCGAGCATGGAGTGACAACTCTAGAAGAGTTCATTATTACTGTTGCACTTGATTTTCCCATTAACCCTATGAGTGGGATTGTAACCCAGTGAAATGGCAAGTTTCTGGGATTCTAGGAGCAAGGAAAAATGGATGGGGGGCATCTGTGGGTGGTGAGCGAGAGGTGGGAACTGGGTGGCACAGCTGGGGGGGACAGTGGTGACCATGCATGGGGCCTGAGCCCACAGCACCTCTTTCTCTGCTCTCTCCTTCTAGCCTGTCAGCCTCACAAAGGTACTACTTTGAGGTGCTTCACAAGCAGAATGACGAGGGCACCGATCATGTGGAAGTCGCGGTGAGTGTCCTGCTGCTCCTGCCTGTCCTCTCCCCTGTCACTTGAACCCATATAGGGACCCAGGCTACCTGCAGCCTTCCACATCCACCCTCTCTCCTCTTCCAGTGGCGTCGGAATGACCCTGGGGCCAAGTTCACCATCATTGACTCCGTTTCCCTGTCCCTCTTCACAAGTGAGTAGACTCTGCCCCCAACCCAGATAAGAGGGGAGGTGGTGTCACATGTGGGGTTCAGCCCACTGAGGAAATTTGGTCAGGGGAGGCATGGAAGGGGTGGAGACTAAAGCTCCAGGTTCTTGGAACATGGGTAGGGAGAAGAAAGAGCCTAAAGGGACCTTAACAGACTCCTGAGGGCCAGTGACCCCTTGAGAACCTCCTGGAAGTTCTCTGCACCCTTGCCTCAGAAAGTTCCCTTGTCCACCCACGCATGATGTTTTGTGCACAGTTTCAAGGGGCTTTGGAGACCATGAGGTTCACTCCAGATTAAAACCCTCTGAGTGAAGCCAAGCTCTTATTTTACTGGTGAGGCAGCCAGGCATCTTGCAAAGCCATGGCCAGAAAGAAAACTTTCTCACCTGCTTTAAATTTGCAGTAAATGAGCTCTTCAGTTGTGCTATTCACTGCTTGTGATTTCCTCAGCAAGACTCCCATGCAGAGGCCCCACTGAGAAACCGCCATCTGTAGGCTTCCGGGGAAGGTGGGGGCCATGTGGGCCCAGGTGTTGGAAGGGGAGGCAGGGCTGAAACCCCAAGGGAGGAAGGGAGAGGCGACTGGAAGGAGACTGGCGAGACGGTGGGTAATGTATATGCGGGGTGGGGGGGGGGCAGGATGGTCGGCTCACAGAGCAGGGTGGCAGTGTGGGAAGGGCAGGCTTGGCGGGAGGTGGCTTGCAGTGACCAGAGCAAGAGGCCATAAGGTCAAGGCGGAAGAAGAAGCTGCCAAGATCGTGTGAGAAGGAGGTGGGAGAGCTGGACGTGAGCCAAGCAGAAAGAGGCCCAGAGCAAAGTTCAGGTCAGGAGCGAGTAAAGTAATGGAGACCTCTGTCTGGGGCTGAAGACAAATGAACTCAGGAGGCAGAGAGCAAAACCAGGCCTGATAGAAAAGGGAAGAAGTAAATACCGTAGGGCCTCCCTGGTGCTGCAAGGGGTTAAGTCTCAGCACTATGAAGCTATTACCAGCCACTGCAGCATGAGTTCGATCCACGGCCAGGGAGCTGACCCTCATGGCGCAGCAGACCTCTCCTGCCTCACCTGAAGGTCCCCTCAGCAGTGTATTTCAATAGATTCACCTGTTCTGCTCCCTACTCTGTCTCTGGTGAATCCTCTTACCCCCTGCACCTCTGGCCTACAGCCCAGCTCTTGTATGCATAAATAAATAAAATAAATCTTTGGGGGAAAAGGAAGTAAGTACTGTAGACTGGAGGAGAATACCAGAGGGCGAGGAGAGGCAGGGCTGCTGTGGACTTGGGGCACGAGCCGCTCCTCGTGGTCCGAGTTGATTTTTTGGCTTGAGAGGCAGCATACCTGAGGCGGACACCAGCCTCGGCTTTGCACTTAGCACTTGTGTCATCTTTGACAAATGACTTGGATTCGCTGCCGAAGTTCTTTTTCTGTGAAATAGCAACGATAGTGCATAAGCTGTGTGGTGCTCAGGAAAAGTAAGTGGGTTAATATTTCTAAGATGTTTAGAACAGTGGCTGGCTTATTATTTAGTAAGTGCTACATATGCATGTGTTAGATAAGTTCAACATCATGACAAGTATCCAGCAGCGCTAAAACATTTTGAGAAGAGGTGTCTTTTTTGAAATTCATACAAAAATGGGGTATGTGCCCTGGGGTGGTGGGGGTGGAGGGACCAGGGTTAGCAGGAAGAGGGGTGGAGCACATCCCATCCTATACCTGGGCATCCTGAAGACTTGGCTGAGCCTCTCCCCTGACCCCTCAAAGAATCAGGGATATGGGTTCTAGGTTTGCTCCAGGGCCCACAGGTGCCCTCTGTTCTTGTCTCTGGGGCTCAGATGAGACGGTGCTGAAGATGGATGAGGTGGGCCACATCCCACAGACAGCAGCCAGCCACACAGGCCCCCCAGACTCTCCTCAGGGAGACGAGCAGCCCCCCGCCGACATGCTACGGCCTGACCCTCGGGACACCCTCTATCAAGGTAAGGTCTTGGCCACCTCCCTGTCATGTAGTCTGGGGACACTACACTGCCAGGTCCCTGGGTGCCAGTGGCGGAGACTCAGACTCATCAATTCAGCCTCAGAGAATGTTTTTCTTTGTAGTGAAAAATAACATGCACACAGAAAAGTACAAAATGTATTGTACAGTTTCACAGCTGCACAAACCACTACAGAACCAGAGTCTGTGTGACCAGCACCCGGACAAGAGCTAGAACTAGAACCCGCCCCTGTGTGCCCTCCACAGTATGTACAAGTAACTACAAGTGTCGTAGTGTCTTACTGGATCCCACTCGTCACCCAGTGAGAGAACATGAGCCTACTGAGTGTCAGAGTCAAACTCCGGAGAGTGTTTACATTTTAAACAAAGATAAAACTCCCTCCAATTTCCCCCAAAATGGCAACTGGTTGGGCCTCCCTGGTGGCGCAAGGGGTTAAGCACCGCACTATGAAGCAATCTTCAGCCTCTGCAGCATGAGTTCGATCCCTGGCCGGCCAGGGAGCAGCCCACATGGTGCAGCAGACCTCTCCTGTCTCGCCCGCAGGTCCCCTCAGCAGTGTGTTTCAGCCGGTCTGCCTGTTCTGTTCCCCACTCTGTCTCTGGTGAATCCTCTCACCCCTCACATCTCTAGCCTATACCCCAGCTCTTGTATGCATAAATAAATAAATCTATTTTAAAAATGGCGACTGGAAGAGAATTCTGTTTGTGACAGACACAGGGTGAGGCTCTGCCCTGCTCCGGAGTTTCTAGACCTTTATGGAGGCGCATCTGTAAGAGCAGCCCCAGAGCCTGCGATCTAGTTCTCCACCACCAGGGTGCGCCACGGGCGCAGGGGTGACTGCAGGCTGTGCCAGCTGGCGTGGAGGGCCTGCTCCCACTCTAATCCTCGTCCCTCTTCCCTTACTGTCCTCAGTGCCTCTGATCCCCAAGTCTCAGCTCCGCCATGTCCTGCCTGACTGTCCCTACAAGCCCAGCTACCTAGTGGACGGGCTCCCTCTGCAGCGCTACCAGGGACTCCGATTTGTAAGTACTGGGTCTGGGCAGCAGGTGGCAGAAGTAAGAGAGCTTGCTGCATCTGGCCAGAAAGCGGGGAGATGAGCACACTCCCCCCTCAATCCTCCCTCTTCCCCAGCCATGTGCCAGCAGAGGGATGGCTCACCCGCCCCTTGGCTGGGAGAACTTGCATTCTAAGTTGCTTCTAAGCCAGATGGACTGGCCTGCAGCGCCTGAGTGGGTGGCCTGACTTGGGAAGCCCGGACACATCAACCCAGCTGCAGTGACCATGCAGGGTGGGCTGGCCTGAGGCTTCCTATCCTCGGCTCTGAGGGCCATATAGCCTGTCCTGTCTGGGGCAGTCCTGCCAGTGGGTCGGCCCGCAGTATTTAATAGACGCGTAGATAAGGCAGGAGGGGGAAAATGAACTAGGAAGCCTGCAGCCGCATGGAAACACGAGAGGCAGAGGGGCTACTCTACACCCACATCTGGAGAGGGTTACGAGAGTGCTGGAGGTGGGAGGCGAGTGGCCAAGGGTCCAGCAGGTCAAAGAGTATCATTGAAAACGTTTTTGGTGGTGATGGTCCCAGGCTGTATTTATGGGGGCAGCAAGCAGTGGGGAAAATAGCAAGGGCGGGGTGGGGGAAGGTGGGCTGTTCCAGGCCTGTGGGAGATTGCAGGTGAAGGTTTAGCAGTTCTTGGAGAGGACAAGATAGCAAGAGGAGGGGAGATTGGGGCTGGCTGCCAACGGGTGAGTTGAGACAGAAGGTGCGGGCCTTGAGGGAACTTGACTCAGGGCTTACATTTGTTCCAGAAAACCCAGGCGAGGAGGCATAAGAAGTGGAAAGGAATCTCAGTCTCAAAACCAACATTCTTTCAGAGCTCCAGGCAGCCCTTCTCTCCCCACCAGAGAGATCCCTAAGAGCCAGGAGTGATTCCGAGCAGGGGCAGGCTTCACCCTGGCCTGCTGATTCCTTACGAAAGCCCTGGCCCTTACTCCTGCTGCTGCTTTATCTGTCTCCAGGTGCACCTGTCCTTCGTTTACCCCAATGACTATACGCGCCTGAGCCACATGGAGACCCATAATAAATGCTTCTACCAGGAAAGCCCCTACTACCAGGACAGGTGAGTGACACTGATGGACTAAGAAAGTGGCTTCACAGAGGGGTTCTGTAGGGGCAGGAGGGCTTCCTGGACTGAGTGGCTGCAGGTGCTTTTGCAGCCCAAGGAATTTCTGCTCTTCCTTGGTACTCCCCGCCTTCCCCCCAAACCTTCATCTCCCCCCCACAACCCCCATGCTCCATCTCAGGCCTCCTTCCTCTCTTCACTCTGCTCTGGGGCTTGCCTCTGAGCTGCCACTGGGGCTTCCAGTAGAGCCTCATGCATCAGGCTGCAGGGCACCGCATGCCAGTGTCCCCTCCCTTCCTCCCGCAGGTTCGGCTTTCAGGAGTACATCAAGATTGATCAGCCGGAGAAGCAGGGGCCAGAGCAGCCAGGTACAGAGCGACAGCTGAGGCTTCCAGGTCAGGTTGGGAGGGGTGAATGTGGTCTGTTGCTAGGGGTCGTTCAGACCATGCCTGCCTGCTCCCAAAGAGTTTAAAATCCAAACCACATAGCCACTCACCTACAAGCCCCCACCCCGCCCCCACACCCCTTCAATCAGGCGGTGAGAGCAATACTCTCTGCATTTCCCTGTCAAGGCACATGTAGAAAACACTTGTACCCGCATGCTGGGGTCTGTCAGAGAAGTTGCTGGGACTGCTGGAGGCCATCTCTGCCTGTGGCACATCCTTCAGGAATTTCTGCTATAGAGAAGCACTGTCTTCCTGTGGCCTTTTTTCTTAAGGAATTAGGGTGTAAGTGGGGCCATTAGTTGGATACTTACGTGAACCAGGCACCTGCCAGGTGCCTTATGTCACCCAATCTTCACAACAACCTGATGGAAGGTGAAGAACTTGGGGCTAGTTGAGTCGCTTGCCCAGGTTACACGATAAGTAAGTCCAATAAATAAGGGTGCAGCTCCAGTCTGACACCCCTTGGTGCATCTCTCAGAGGCTCCTCAGCTATTGCGTATGACTTGTTGGGGAAAAATTGAAAACCCTGATGTGAGGAATGGTTGTTATTCATAACAGGTTTTGAGGAAGTCCTTCTAGAAGAATCCCAGTATGGAGAAGCAGCAGATGAGACCCCTGTCTCTGATGACCAAAACTTCAGGATGCCAGAAGGAAAGCACATGCCCCCCTCCCCTCCTGGGCAGGATGTCACTGACTACCGCCTGCAAAGCCTGAGGAAACTGCTGGCTCAGTCCCAGGAGAGTCTGCGGGTGCCCCTTTCTAAGCACAACTCGACAGCTCCCTCCCCAGTGAGAACCAGCCGCATCCCAGCCCACCAGCCGGAGAATAGGGAGAGAAAGCCCAGCCCCGAGCCCAGCCCAGAGCCACCTCATTCTGACAAGTCACCCACTGGGCACGTGGCAGGGAAACTGCCTCAAATGAAGAAGCTCAGGCCCACTGGTGACAACCCCAGGAAGATGCTAGGACAGTCCCAGTGGCTGAATCAAGTCGAGTCATACATTGCAGAGCAGAGAAGGGGTGACAGGATGGAGCCTCTGCTCCCTAGGAAGGGTTGGCAGGGGGAGGAGGAGGTGGTAACAGCCATAGCGCAGGAAGGACAGGTGGAGGGAGAGGAAGACGGGGAGGAAGAGGAAGAGGAAGAGGATGTGAGTGAGGTGTTCGAATATGTGCCCATGTTTGACCCCGTGGTAAACTGGGACCAGACCTTCAGTGCCCAGAACCTGGACTTCCAAGCCTTGCGGACAGACTGGATCGATCTGAATTGTAACACATCTGGCAACCTGCTGCTTCCAGAGCAGGAGGCCCTGGAGGTCACCCGGGTCTTCTTGAAGAAGCTCAACCAGAAGAGCCGGGGGTAAGGTAAAGGGCTCTCCTGCGGCCTGGGGCTGGGCAGGGACCTGGGGGTGGGAGCAGGTTCACCTGCTGCAGGCTTCCAGCGGAGACAAGTGCTGGGGGTCCTGGCCTGCAGGTGACCCGGACAGTCAGGTCTTTATTCCACTGTCAGGTCCAACTCCTGGTGCCTGGCCCAGGCATTGGGAAGGCTTGATAGATGTGGTTCCCTCTCTCAGGGAAGGAGCAGATACAGAGACAGAGCAGGCAAAGTTGAGGCTAAAACACCTCATTAAGACCCAGATGTGGGCGTCCGCTGGTGGCGCAGCGGTTGAGCGCTGGGCTGCGAAGCTGCCCACAGCCTCTGCAGCGCCGGTTCGATCCCCAGCTGCTGGCAAGGGTCCCAATAAATAAATAAATCCTAAAAAAAAAAAAAAAAAAAAAAAAAACAAACCCAGATGTGGGGCCTCGCTGGTGGCACAAGGGGTTCAGATGCAGCCTATGAAGCTATCCACAGCTACTGCAGCAGGAGTTCACTCTCCGGCCAGGAAGCTACCCACATGGCACAGCAGACCTCTCCTATCTCGCCTGCTGCCCCCTCAGCAGTGTATTTTAGTCAGTCTGCCTGTTCTGCTCCCCGCTCTGTCTCTGGTGAATACTCTCACCCCCCATACCTGTACCCCAGTTCTTGTATGCATAAATAAATAAATCTTTAAGAAAAAAAAAAGACCAGATGTGGCTGGAAGGACTAGGGCATAAGATATGACTTCAGTTCTTTGCCTTCATTCATTCAATCAGCTTTTTTTTGGATTGCAATAAAATTCCCCTAGCATTCAATTCACCATTTTAGAGTACAATTCAGTGACTTTTAAGTATATTCAGAATGTTGCATGACCATCATCACTCTCTGATTCCAGAACATTCTCATCACTTTAAAAAGAAACCCTGTACCTGATAGTTGTCACTTCCAACTCCTCCCAGTCTCTGCAGCCATTACTCTCCCTATACGTTTACCTCTTCTAGACATTTTGTGCACATGGAATTATATAATATGTGACCTTTTATGCCTGACTTATTTCACTTACCAAATAATTTCAAGTACAGTCATGTGAAGCCAATGTAGAATGTACTGAGTGCTTCATTCCTTTGAGTTGCTGCATAATCTCCTTTGTATAGATGTACCACATTTTGTATATCCATTCATTAGCTGATTCACATGTGGCATTTGGCTATTTTGACTACAGTGCTGCTAGGAACACATGGTACAAGTTGTTTTTTTTTTTTTTTTTTAAAGGTGCCTAAACAAAAAGACTTTAGTACTGTAGAAATATACCAGTGTGGGAGTTTTTGGCACAAAAGCTTGAAAATGCCATCACAAACACTGCGTGGGACCAAAGGTGCTGGCAAAAGTGCACCCTCTGCAAGCCTCAGCACTCAGAAAGGGTTCTTGGGCCAGCAGAGAGTCCAGTGCAACGTTAACTTTGTAGAGTTGAGAAAATGAAGATCCTGTGGGGGGTTGGGGTGATAATTTCTTCAAATAGGAGAGCACATAAGTCAGCTCCACTGAGCACCCTGGGGTGGTAACTGAGGCCCAGGGAGTGGGCCTGCCATGTGGTAGGTCAGTAGGATCTGTAGCAATAAGATTTGTGAGAACCCTTGGCAGGTTCCACATGCTTCCCACAACTTAAGCTCACAGAGAACTCTAGAAATACCAGGCTCAACTCAGGCAGATGGCCCCTACGAGGTTTCATCTGCCTCTTAATACTAATTCAGGTGAGACCCAGTCCCTGTGTCTCTAAGGCCTTTGTCCAGTGTGAACTCTTCAGTATCAGGTGGGTGGCTTTTGTGTCTAAAGGGTTTTCCCTATTCACAGCATGCACATGAGTACTCCTATGTCGAAGGAGGCCGGAGCTCTGACTAAAAGACTTCCCACACTCACTGCACTCGTAAGGCCTCACTCCTGTGTGAAACATCCGGTGTTGAATGAGGCTGGAACTGTGTCCGAAAGAGTCCCACATTCAGCACAACACATGTGTACAAGTTTTTGTGTGAATAGCTATGCAGTTCCTTTGGGGGTATACCTGCGATTGCTGGGTCACATGGAGATTATGTTTAACATTTTGAGGAATTTACCAATTTCTTCTTCAATTTGACACCCTTGTATTTTCCTTAAAAAAAAAAAACAAACCAACAACATCCTAATGGGTGTGAAATTGCATCACACTGTGGTTTTGATTTGCATTTCCCTAGTGATTAATGATGTTTAGCCAACCAGTCCACATTAATAATCCAGTGTGGCTTATGCCCAGTGTATTGAGCAGAGCATTTTATTAGTGAGGGCCAGTTTCTGAATGGAAGTCACCTTTCATCACTTAGGCCCTTGGGTCTAGAAAAGACTTGCGTTATCATCCCAGCTCAACAGGTGCATTTTTTTTTTTTAAAGATTTTATTTTTGCATAGAAGAACTGGGGTACAGGGCAGAGTTCTGGGGTGGGGGAGTGAGAGGATTCCCAGAGACAGAGTGGGGAGCAGAACAGGCAGATCTACTGAAATACACTGCTGAGGAGATGTCTGCTGTGCCATGTGGGTCAGCTCCCTGGCCGGGGATCGAACCCAGACTATTGGGGTCGGCCTTCACAGTGGTAGCCCTGAGATTTAACCCCTAGGGCACCAGGGAGGCCATCAATAGGTGCATTTCAAAGACTGGGCAGGGTAAGCATCTGATGCAGTGGCAGAGCTAGGACAACTGTGTCTCCTGCAGGCCTGGACCGCACCTGGCTTCCCCATAGTGTGGGAAAGAATAACTCAAGCCCCCTGCCCTTTCTGCCTTAGGAGGTACCAGCTGCAGCGCATTGTGAATGTGGAGAAGCGTCAGGACCAGCTCCACGGGGGTCGCTACCTTCTGGAACTTGAGCTGCTGGAACAAGGCAAGCGCCTGGTGCGGCTCTCTGAGTACGTGTCCACGCGAGGCTGGCAGGGCATCGATTCAGCTGCTGGAGAAGAGAAGGAGGCCCGGAACCTGCAGGGTCTGCTTTGGGATACACGCAGGCGGCGGAGACACGTCCTGAGTGTCCGGAGCCCAGAGCCCAAGCTGTGCTGGCCCCAGGGCTTCTCCTGGAATCACCGAGCCGTGGTCCACTTCATTGTGCCTGGTGAGCCCCACACCCATCCTGGGCAGAGCAAGGGTCTTGCCCTTCCTCCCGAGCACCCAGGTTTCTGTTCACTGATTCGGTCTCACAGAGAGAGGCCGCCATGCAGGGGAGACACTGGGGCTCACAAAGAGTCCCGGGTCTGAGGTTCAGCAGGTAGTAGCGTTGGTGCTGGAACAGAGGCTGACCTGTCGGCCTGTTGACCAGGCCGTGTTGAGCCAGGTTTCAGGGGCTATGATCTTCAACTGGTGGGTCTACTGGGAGTTACAACTAGTCTGGGGAAATAAGACAGGAGGGTTAGCTGGTTGGTGTCATGAGAAATGGGAGCATGTAACAGACTGGACTGTCATGGTGGGGCAGGAATGGAAGTAAAGGGTCATAACCAGGGTTTGAGGGTCAGCCAGAGATTACTAAGGACAAGCCAGCCCAAGGCTGTCCCCACCCCCCCCCACTCCGCCCTGGGCCCTGCAGGGAGCGTGTGCTGCTGGGTGTTGAGGCCCCTTTAACTGCTGAGCTCTCCCTGCTGTACTGCACCGTGGTGGTTTCCCGTAGTTACCTTCTCCCCCAAGCAGCGGTCTGATGGGACTTGCCCAGAAACCAGGAATGGAGAGGCCCATCTTTGCCCCACCTCTGCTTCTTTCTCCCTGTTTGCCCCTCCCGGGTAGTAAAGAACCAGGCGCGGTGGGTACAACAGTTCATCAGAGACATGGAGAAGCTGTTCCAGGCCACCGGAGACCCGCACTTCAATGTCATCATCACTGACTACAGCAGTGAGGACATGGCCGTTGAGATGGCCCTGAAGGGGTCCAAGCTGAGAAGGTGAGGAGACCCAGCCTGGGCCAACTCCTTCCTAAATTCTAAGACCTGCTGGGATGGGGGCAGAACCAGGTGCTCCCCACCAACCCCCAACTCACCTGCCATTATCCCACCCCAGAAGCACTTGTCATCTCTGCTCTGCCTGCTAACTTCCTCCAGGGGACCCCCATAGCCGGTGCCAGGACTCAGCCCCTCTTTTCTCCTCTCCCTGCAGCTACCAGTACCTGAAGCTAAGCGGAAACTTCGAGCGCTCGGCTGGACTTCAGGCTGGCATAGACCTGGTGAAGGTAAATGGGCTGGGTGGGGCTTGTGGGGCGTGATTAGAGACTGGCTAGAGGGAGAGAGACCTTTGGGATGTGTAAGGCGCTCAGCTCCTCAGGGAGGAAGGGAATGGGGATTGGAGGGAGCGTGGGAGGCTGGTCTCTGCTAGGCTGCAGGGCCAACACCTGGGTGGGGCTAAGCAGATGACAGTGGAGCATTTATCCAGAGTCCCAGAGTCCACTGAGAAGGGGGGAGGGAGTCAGAATTCACTGATCATGAAAACTGTGCTCTGGTGCCCAGCAGTGTGGGAACCTGCCCAGCTGTCTGGATCATTCAGGTGGGAGGGAAGCTGAGGGTTGTGCTGGCCCTCCTAGCTCTGCCTGCAGGCTCTGCTGACACTTCCACGTCTGTCCCCAGGACCCACACAGCATCATCTTCCTCTGTGACCTCCACATCCACTTCCCAGATGGAGTCATCGATACCATCCGGAAGCACTGTGTGGAGGGCAAGATGGCCTTTGCCCCCATGGTCATGAGGCTGCACTGCGGGGCCACGCCCCAGTGGCCTGAGGGTGAGTCTGGCCCTGGGCTAGGGAGGCTGGGAAGGACCTCTCTGGCCTTGGTTTTTAACTCAAGAGCTGGAAACACTCAGGTCTATAAAGGCAGAGCCCGTTCCTCCCCTGCACCCCTGCTGCCCCACAGCCTCTGCTTACCTGGACAGTGCACTGAGGACTGTGCTGAGGGTTGTGCTGCAAAGGCCGGCTCTGGCCGCATCTTCCCCTCATTCATTCATCACACGTTCACTGTGTGCCCACTGCCCCGTGAAGCCTTGGTCAGAGGCCTGCCTTGGTCAGAGCCTCCTGTAGGACTGTCACCAGCCCGTGGTCACTCCCTGGCAGGACTGCTGCTTTCACTGGACCCTGAACTTTAACTCAAGGAGCTGCCTCTCAAAACAGGTCAACAGAGGAGACCACTTTCCGCCTTAGCCAACCCATCCTTTTTTATTTATTTATTTTTAAAGATTTATTTTTTTATTTATACAAGCACTGGGTACAGTCAGAAATGTGGGAGGGTGAGAGAATTCACCAGAGCCAGAGCGGGGAGCAGAGCAGGCAGAAGGACCGAAGTACACTGCTGAGGGGAGCAGCGGGCGGCAGGAGAGGTCTGCGCACCATGTGGGACCCTTGCTGGAGCTGGGGATCGAACCAGCGCTACAGAGGCTGGGGGCAGCTTCTCAGCCCAGCGCTCAACCACTGCGCCACGAGGGGAGGCCCGACCCATCCATCCTTTTTTAGAAGACCCTGGAAGGCACACCTGAAGGCTTTATTCCTTCCTCCTGGCCTCTGGCTCATCTCACCGGTAGCTTCTTGTCTGTCCGCAGGCTACTGGGAGGTAAATGGATTTGGACTGCTTGGCATCTACAAGTCAGACCTGGACCGGATTGGGGGCATGAACACCAAGGAATTCCGAGACCGCTGGGGCGGGGAAGACTGGGAGCTGCTGGACAGGTGACTGGGAAGGGGGACATTTGAGCCATTTGCTGGAATTCCATCCCGTCAGGTGTCTGGGCAGAGAACAGAGCTCAATCAGCCTGGGCCTGGTCCTTCTAGACTGCGTAGTCCTGCATACAGGTAATGAACACCCACCGCGGAGGAAGCTCAGCCACTTACTGGGGAGTCAGATGACTTAATTTCGCTGAGACTCAGTTTCCAGATCAGTCGAGGAGATGCTACTGCCTCTGTCTGTGTCACAGGACTGCCATGGAAATGAAAGTGCCTGGTAAACTGTCAGGGGAAAAGCAAAAACTGTTGCGCTGTATAAATGCAAATGACAGTGTTCGTGGCACCGAGCAAGGCGCTAGGGGAAAATTTGACTACATCCACCCACACTGGATGGTAGCTCGCTTCCCCTCCACAGCTGCCTGGGAGTGACGCTGTGGGAATAGAGAGGAGAGACACAGGCATGGAATCAGGAAAGATTGTGGGGCCAGCAAAAGACAGTTGCATTATTAAAGGGCAATAAGGTATCCAGGCGGTCCTGGGAGGTTCTGGAAACTAGGGAGATGGGAGTTTGGGGCAGGAGGAAATGTCAGAGAAGGACAACATGGTGCCAGCTGCCAGCTTGGCCAGTGGGCAGGGAAAGGCTGTGGGGGTGTTAGTAGGGAGCAAGGCTGGGCAGGACACGAGTTGTGGGGAGTGCAGGTGTGGTTGGTGAGGAGGTAGAGGCTGCCTTAGTCGGGTTCCTTTAAGAAATGCAAGGCCAAGAGAAGGGGATGGAAAAAGGATGATGCTTGAGATTGGAGCTTAAGGGGTGAGGTCAAAGGAAGGGGAAATCTAAGAAAGAAAAGGTATAATTGCTGGCACTGTGTCCAGAGGAGGTGGACAGGGCCAGGAGTACCCAGCGAGTGGGGACCTTGGCAAGGAAGAGACGCACCTGTTGCTGAGGAACAGGGCAACCCGGGGCCACCAGTCATTAGGAGTCTGTAAGCGGCAGGTGATTTATACCCATCACCTTGTTTATTCCTCCCCCAAACTCTGTGAGGTGTCATTGTCTGCATTTTCTAGATGGGAAAAATGAGTCTTGAGGAAAAGTTAGTAACTTGGCCCCAAACGTCACAGCTAGTGAGTGTCAGGCTTAAAAACCAGATCTATGGATATTTTTTCCTGGGAGGAGTTCCTATTAGATAACCCAGCTCTCCTAAACCGAGGGTAGTGGCAGGAAGGCACAGAGCAGGTTCTCTGAGATCCGGGCAGATGGGTAAAGGAGAGTCCTGGAGCCCTCGGTGGCTTTTCAGGCTTTCATTGAGCTTTTTACATGTAGTGCAGCACCCAGGTACACGGCAGGCAGGGGTACACGGCAGGCCTCCCAGCCCCCGGCGAATCTTCACTCTTTCTGGGTGCTCTGGCGTTCTCTCGTGGTCTCTGCTTCTCTGCTGGTTCTGCTTATCATCTTGTTCTTCTCGTTCTCTGCTCTCTTCTGCTGGTTCCTGGTGATGCCGCCCTTGTAAGCCCAGTCTCAGCCCAGATGTGCCCACCTATGCATGTCCAAACCCTGCTCCAGGTGCTCACCATCAGGCATGCATGCAGGACTGCAGGGGTCCATCATTAATGCTAATGGCAGGAGGGCAGAAAAGCCTGATACTTTTTTTTTTTATTTTCTTTTTATAGAGGCATGTTTTATTTATTTATTTGTTTGTTTGTTTGTTTTGTTTATACAAGCACTGGGTACAGTCAGAAGCGCGGGAGGGTGAGAGAATTCACCAGAGCCAGAGCGAGGAGCAGAACAGGCAGAAGGACCGAAGTACACTGCTGAGGGGAGCAGCGGGCGGCAGGAGAGGTCTGCGCGCCATGCGGGACCCTCCTCCGGTGGCCGGGGAGCAGCCGGGGATCGAACTGGCGCTGCAGAGGCTGCGGGCGCGCTCAACCGCTGCGCCACCGGGGAGGCCCATGCCTGATACTTTTTTCCTTAGCCTACACCTAGATCAAGTGGACCCCGAGCTCATGGAGGGCTGGCCCAGTGGTTCCCTCCACCCATGGTCTTCATGCCAGGCCAGGACTCCAGCTCAGTTCTTAACCGTCCTGCCTTCTCTGACACCCAACAAGAAAGAAACTGCACAAATTCCAGTGACTTCTACCCTGCCAGAAGTACAGGTCTCCCTGTGAGAGGGACTCCCGGGGGCTGTACATATAGAATGGGCCGGGGTAGGCTGGGCACCAGGTCCGCTCAGCCTGTGCCTCCATCAAGACTGCAATGAGCCCCTGCAGGCTGAGCTCCAGCTGTTGGGTGTTTGGTGTGTGGAGCTATGCTGAGCACTAGCTTCCATCATCTCTGGTTTTACCATCTTGCCTGTAGCTATTCATCTTTATCCTCTTTCTAGAGATTAGCCAGCTGATGCTCTGAAAGACGAGGCTTACCCAGTGTGGAGCTGGGACTCAGACTCGGGCTGTCTGGCTCCAAAGCCCACACTGCGCCATACCCCGCCTTCCCTGCCTGGAGTGAAAGCAAGATGGGGTTGCAGGGACAGGGCTGACACAGATGTGGTGGGTGGATTCCTCAGGGGCCTCGCCCCAGGGGCCTCTTGTATTTCTGTTGCTTATCCTGCCCCTCCCGCTTCAGGATCCTCCAAGCCGGCCTGGAAGTGGAACGTCTGTCCCTCAGGAATTTCTTCCATCACTTCCATTCCAAAAGGGGCATGTGGAACCGCCGCCAGATGAAGACGCTGTGATGCTGGGGCGTGGCCCACTGGACCGACCACTTCCTGCTCCTGGACGTGCAGCTGCTCTCAGTGGCCCTGCTCATTTCTGGAGGAGGAGAGGGAAGGAGAGCAGAAGCCAGGCTGGGCCCCAAGGCTCAGAGATTCACCCTTACTCCACCGGGAGCTGTTGCCTCATGGAGCCCTCTCTCCGCCCCTGGGCCTCCGAGGGAGAACTCCAGGAGGGCCTCGAGGGGCCACTCACGCACAGTTGACAGAGATGGGACGCTCCCGGGAAGGGCAGCGTAGCGCAGTGAGGTCCAGGAAGGAAAGGCCTGCTTGCGCGACCCCATCCTTTTCCGTGAAGGTGCATTCTGCTATCCACCCAGTGCCTTCCACAGGGAGCAGACACCAGGAACTGGAAGCCTTGATTGGACATACTTTATTGGGGTTTTTATTTTTTTAACAGAAATCCAAAACTGTAAGTGTCCAGACCCAGCATTGACTGTGAGAGGGGATGCATTTAGTGGGTGTCCCCACTAGCATACCTCAGACCCACTCCTGTATAGAGGTGTGCCCCCCGCCAATCTGGCAGCTGATTTCTATCCAGACAGGCTGGCCCCATGTGGAACAGTCCCAGATCTACCCCAGGCTGTGCCTTCCAGTGACACATCTCTCCTGGGTAGCCACTCAACAGCTGGCCACCGTTTAGGGCATTAACCTTACCCTCAGGCTGTGCTCACTCGAGACCAGGAGCACAGAGCTGGCATGTTCCGGGTGCCACAGGGGGGTTGGGAGACAGGGAATGGTGGGCAGTGGGCACGTTGTCCCCAGTGTTTGGCAGCTAGGACGAACAGAACAGAGAAGGAGGAGGAGGCCAGGAAGAGAAGCCCCTCCGCCTGCCCAGTTCCTCTGTAAGCTGAGGCCTGGGGAGAAGGAGAAGGAGAGAGGAAAGACATGTGGACCTGAGTCACAGCTCAGATAAGTAAAGGGGATGGGGTCCAGTAGGAAGGACGAAGAGGGGAGTGGGGAACTTGAGACCTCGCAGCCTGGCTTCCCCAGAGACTTGCCAGCCTCCCAGCCTTGACTGGAAGAATGGGTGTGGGTGACACAGGGGCCAGGGTCAGAAGAGGGTAGGTTTGGGGAGGTGAGGGCATTGCTGCGATACATCTCTCAAGTGGAAGGGGATTGGGGCGGGAGGAACTGAAAAGTGAAGCCATTTCAGGGAACACAGCCCTTGGCCTCTAGACTACGGCCACACTCCATCACCTGGTGATCATGTACTTATCTTGCACTAATAACCTCCAGGTGCCTTTGTGGTTGGGGATTTTTCTATTTTTGCTGCTGCCTCTGCTGCTGCTGCTGCTGAGTTCACTTATGGTGCATTGGACACTGGGTCTTGGCTGCCAGTGTCTGATTAGGGAGGTGAGCACAGGGCCCCCTGCTGAGGCAGGGCTTGAGGAGGGGGGTGCAGCAGGGCCCAGGAGGCCAATCCGTTGAGCCCACGCTCCATGCTGTAGCAGAGTCCAGTCGGCTTTTGGAGCTGCAGGGTCTACCTGGGGGCCCGCATTCACCATGATCATAAGCTTCACATATGGGAGAATCATCTATTGAGAACCTTCTGGGGGTTGGGGAGAAACCCTACTTTCCCTAAGAAATCAGGAAGGACAAAGACTTTTCAGTGGACAGCTTGTAGCTTACAGATGCTACATCACTGTCCCTGGGTTTCTGGTCCCTGCTCAGGCACCCTGCCTCTGAGAAAGGGTTGGGATGGGGATGGGGGGCCTGCCTTGACTGGCAGGGTAAAGAAGAAATCAGGTTTTTTTCTGGGGCCACTGTCACTCTTGGGCATCACGCCTGCAGGCCTGAGCCAGCCGGAGCAGCCCTCTTGCTTCTCCTGTAAGCCAGAACCAGCCAGCCTGCCCTGCCCTGCAGCCCCTGTCCTAGCCAGTGCCTTTTGTTTGATGTCTGTTATCTCCACACCATCTGCCTTAGGGGTAGGCCTGGCAAGTCCCTACTCTGTGGGGAAATGTCTTGGGTGGGGGGAGGGTGGGGGAGGTGGTAAATACAGCATCTTCTTAGAAAGCAGCATGGCTCTGTGTTTTCCTGTAGCCTGCCTATGGGGGGAGGGTTGGTTGCGGGGACCAAGGTTCGTCTCCCCACCGTGGGGCCTTTGGTGGACATGCCCGGGATCTTCTCACACCATCTCTATGCTCTACCACTAGTGTGGCACCTGCTGCGTGAGAGACAACCTTCTCCCATGCGGTTTATTCAGGAAAGGGCTGTTTCTGCCTGAGGAAGGCACCGGCTGATGGAGCATTCTTTGTTGGGCAGATTGCTGCCTTCAGTTAAGAAAGACTGGTGGACCCCTGGTGAAGAAGGCTAGATATGACAGGGGAACGGTTTGGTGAGCATGGGGAAGATCCAAGGTGTGGCTTGTGCTAATATAGCAGACAGTCTCATTTCTGTTTTAGCTGCTTTACAGGTACAGATTTACCCTGCTGGTTATATTTGGCCTAGGCAAAGACCAACATTACTTTGTATTCCTTGGACATGTGCCTAAGAGAAGGCGCTAATGCAAAAGCAAGACTAAGTTTATAGGAGTTTCTCAAAAAGAATTGTGCGTGCATGCTTCAGTTCAGTCAATGGCCTGCTATTGTAGCAGATGGTCATTAGCTCCAGGCCTGACTCAGAGAGGCCCCAGAGGAGAGGGAGTGATTTAAAAGCCTTTTCTCCCTCCAGGCTTGGTGTGTGCTCCTTTGCACCCTTTCCACGACACAGTTGGAGAGGGCACCTAGAGACCAGATGGCATTAAACTGGCATCCAGACACCAAGCTGGACGCTTGAGGCTTCACAACTGAGACATAAAGACTGACTCATGGTGGATTTGCAGAAACCTTTATAGACAGAAATCATTCCATCTTACAGAAAGGGGATACTGGTCTGGAGCACAGGGTGTGGATGGGGAGGGAGTCACAGCCTTCTGGGGGCCATACTGGGCCTTGGGTGGACATGCCTCAGGTGCTAATGCTCCCAAGAGGAAAGGTTGGCAGTACCCCCAAACTCCAGACCAAGATGGAACTCACTGAGCCAAGGGAGCCATCATATTCACTGAGGTGCTGTGGGTAGGGAGCATGGGCATCTACGCTGCCCTCTTAGGAAATCTCCCGGGGAGCCGTGGAAAGTGCCCATCAGCCTGGCAGGTCAGGGAGGAAAGAGGCAGAAGCAGTTCCACACCCAGTACCTGTTGGGGAAGCAGAGAGGCCATGAGGAGGGCAGGCCAGACTTGTCCCTGGCACAGATCTGATTCTGCTGGCTCAGCAGATTTCCCCCATGATTTTGTTGATGCCCTTGGTCCTTGGGCAACCATTTGAGTAGCAATGACTCCTAGACAGTTGCCAAGGAGAAATCCTACGTCTCCAACTCTCCCTTGCCAGAGAGGCAGAGCCAACCACTAATCATGTGTACAGGTAGCCACGTGACTTCCCACCCCTTCCCAGCTATAGAAAAACCAACCACAGGGCAGAAGAGGAATGAATGCCCTGTTCACAGAGCCAGGGCACTGGGGGGCTTTTTCTGAGTCCCAATCCAAGATCCAAGATCCCCTCCTGGCCCCAGATCTATAACTTTCCCCCCTTTACTTGACAAGGATCTCTTACCAAACCCCTAGAGAGTGGAGATCCATTCCCCCTCACCTGGGTCCCAGGTTGCATTCAGAGAGGATTCCTCGAGGTCCTGGCAGCGAGGAAACCTGTCTTATGTGCCCCGAAGGCCGTGATGAAGACGTTGAGGACCACGGTGATGAAGACCAAGGTGGTGGCAGCATTGTTGAGCTGGTTTAGTTGCCACTGCTTTTCAACCTCGTTAAGGTTCAGCCGTGCTGTGGAGAGATGGGGAGTGGGAGGTAAGGGTCAAGATGGGCCACGGGAGCTTGGGTCCTGGAGCATCCCGACAGTCCCTCAAGGGTAGAAGACCTGGCACCTCAGAGATGGCATGGTAGAAGTAAGGGAGGTGGGAGTCATGGACAGACATGCCTTTGGCCCTCACTGAGTATATGTGAGGGGAGGGCACCCACATGGCACTTAATAGAAACAGAATTTGGGTCATCCAAGAGCGCAGATGACAAGGCTGTACGGAACTGTGCCAAGTTCGCTAAGGACAGTCCTTCAGCGGGTATTGTGGGGCTGCTCTGTGGGGCCCCTGAAACAAGGCGGTATCATGGGGAATGCAGAGAGCCCAGGTCAGCGTTCAGTGTGAGGTGGGCACGCGCACATGGAGGTGTTGCTGGGAGGCACTGCAGGCTTTTCTTCCACTGTGGGACCTGGAGGCTCGCTCCAGGCCTGGGCTTCTCACCAATGGCCACCAGGAGGATTCCAATGACCACCTGCAGGAGCAGGGAGATGCTGATGAGCGTGACGAGGGCGGTGTAGTAGTGAGAGGATGGGCCTTGCTCCAGCACTGCTTTCAGCCTTGTGGCGTTGGACATGAAGAGAGCCACGTCCAGCATGCTCTCTGCCACGCTCTTCTTGGTGGCATAGTGGTTCAGATTGATGGGCTGGTTCCTCCTGGAGGTGGGACTTCCGGGCTGGAAGGTAGAAGCACAGGCTTCATTGGAGGCTCCAGTAGGGAAGCGGTTAAGAAACAGCAAAGAGAGGTTGTAAAGCTTTCCCCTAACCAGGTGGGAAAACTAGGGCAAGAAGCATCCTTTTCAGTTTTAAGGCCTGAAAAAATAAAGAACTAGACTAGAAAACTCTTAAGGACCTTTGAACTCGGGAATGATGTTATGTTGTCGTTTGTACTTCGTGAAGGGCAGACTTCCCTTGCACCCTCGCGTTCCAAATATGAGAAGGGAGGAGGAGTCTGAGTTGTCCATTTTATTTGAGATTTCACCAGGGCCAGGCCTTGACTTTGGACTGCTCTCTTTTCTTCCAGGAGGAAATCATCTCAGAACACAATAGGGGGAGCTCTGAGGCTGAAGTGGAATAGGAAAAGATTCCTCTTCTTTCAGAACAACATGGCCTCAAGGGGGGTGCACAGCTTAGCAAATGAAACCTGTCCCATTTGGCCCTTGACCAGGAACACCAGCCCAGGCACATCCACTGTGTCAGACACCAGCCATCAGTACAAATTTCAGTAGGCAGTTTTGTATGTACATGGTGATACACACTAGCTAATATTCTTAATTCCACTTTTTTAAAAATTTATGGGTTTTTGTTGTTTTTTTTATAATTTTTTTAAAGATTTATTTCTTTATACAAGCACTGGGGTACAGGCCAGAGGCGCGGGAGGGTGAGAGAATTCACTAGAGACAGAGCGGGGAGCAGAACAGGCAGATGGACCAAAATACACTGCTGAGGGGAGCAGCGGGCACGATAGGAGAGGTCTGCTGCACCATGTGGGAATCTCCCTGGCTGGCCAGGAGTCGAACCCACGCTGCAGAGGCTGCGGACAGCTTCACAGCACTGCGCTCAATCTGCTGCGCCAAGGGAGAGGCCCTAATTCCACTTTTTAAATCAGTTTTGGGCTTGGTTGATTGACCTATAATTTGCATGTGATTTTATTTTGATATGTAAGTCAAAGCTCTTATCCTCAAGAAGCTACTAGCTCCAAAAGACAGACTCATGATACAGGACATATGCTGTAGGGCTCTGAGTTGGGCAAAGAAATTCAGATTGGATGCTCCTAACAATTTGCTTCACTCAAGAGAACTGGGAGCATTTTAGGGAGATTAATGTAGGAATGGTGTTGGGGGTAGATTAGCTCAGGAAGGCCCAGATGCAGGGAGATTCATTAAAAATTTATGATTTTGATTTAGGGTCAAGTGACAAGTGATTCAGCCAGTGTGGTAGTGAGAAATGAGAGAAGGGAAAGATTTGAAAGGGGTTACAGACTGAAGAGAGGGAAGCTAACTCAGCAGATCACCACAACAGGATATCTGTTGAGTGGATGGATGAATGGTTGCATGGATGGATGCATGGATGGATGGATGGATGGATGGGTGGATGGGTAGAGAGATGGACAGACAGATGCATGAGTGGAAACATGGATGGATGTGTGGATGGATGCATGAGGCAGACCTCAGAGGGTTTGCTCCTTATGTATCCTGAACTTGTCTCAGTCCAGGCGGTCTGGATGGTTAGGGCCAAGGATACCAGGGACAATACTCCACAAAGGCCCCAAAGCTACAACCTGTGGTCCTAGCCCATTTAGTAAAGGTTTGTTCTAGGTGCAAAGGATACTCATTAGGAGGTAAGGGTCTGTGCAGTGGCCCCCAGCCCTCTCCACAATCCCCAGTGCTTCCACCTGGACACAACCATGTGCTGGCGCTTCCCTGCTCCTTGATCTCTGCCCCCCACCCCAATTTTCCTCCCTGGCTGTGCCCACTGCTCCTCTCCTTACCCCTCCATATTGACAGCAGCTACAAGCTTTTACTTTCTATTCCTAAAACCCAGCTCTCAGTTCAAGATCTACTAAGCTGTGAAATCACCCTGAAAGCCCAAGGGAGACCCCTTTTCTGAAAATGCACATATTAACAGTAGAACAAACCGTAAACCCAAACCTCCAGGGATAAGTTTTGAGCACAGACCAAGTAATATGTGAGGAGGTGGGGGCAGAAGGGGTGGGTACTTGAGGACACTGATCTTCCCAAACCTCCAAAAGAAAAAAACCAACCAACCAACTCCAAACATCGCTAAGTTTTAATAGAGCCATTGGCTTTTGTTTACTTGAACTAAGAGCTATTGTTTCTTTCTTTCTTTTTTTTATTTTTAAAGGTTTCTTTATTATTATTTATGCATACAGGAGCTGGGGCACAGGCCAGAGGCATGGGGTGGGGTGTGTGTGAAAGGACTCACCAGAGACAGAGTGGGGCGCAGAACAGGCAGATGGACTGAAATGCACTGCTGAGGGGAGCAGTGGGGGAGTCAGGAGAGGTCTGCTGTGCACGTGGGTTGCTCCCTGGCCAGCTGGGGTGGGGGTGAGGTGGGAGTGGGCTTGAACTTGTGCTGCAGAGGCTGCGAACAGTTTCACAGGTTGCATCTTAACCCCTTGCGCCACCAGGGAGGAGAGCTATTGTTTCTCAGCGGATGTGGGGTTCACAGTGAGCATGGAAGGGTGCAGACCTCATGCTTTCCTCTCTCATGTAGCACCTTCTTCGATCGATATGTACCAATTCGCGACTGCCCTGCAGCTGAGAGTTGAGTTTGGCAGCGCTGGGACGCTCTGGAGGGCGCCCCTTCTGGGCTCCAGAAGGCCCCCCGATCTCCAGAGCGTCCACGTGGTGGCGTGCGGGCTCCAGAGAAGTGTCCCCAGCCCCTGGCTGCACCGGCGCTGGGCGGTGTTTCTCCCTCGAGGAATCCACTGACAGGACCGCCTTGTTGGGGAGCCGGGAGCCCTCGGAGACCCGGGCGGGGACCCCGGATCGCAAGTCAAGATCGGGCAACCTAGACCCACCGAACGTGTGTGCGATGAGAATTCAGGAATAGTCCAGAACTGAGCCGGCCCGGGGAGGGGCTCAGTCCCTGCGCCTGAGAGGCTAGCAGGACAGGTGGTTGTGAGAAAGTTGCCTTGAAGGGAGCCCCTCCTGGGAGCAACCTCTAAAAAGCAGGGAAAGCGTTTTCTTACTCCTTCTGGGCCAGTTTAGGTGTGAGTCCTGGCTGAGAGGATCTGCGCGCCCTCCCTTAGGGCCCCAGGATTCTAATGGGATGAACCCCTACCTCCTGCAGGATTTTTACCCTTTTTACACACAGCCTGGAGACCAGGAGACGCTCAGTGAGGGGTCAGGGCAAAAGGAGGGCGGCGGTGGCCGGCAGGGTGGCCTGTTCCTGCCTTCCAGAGCTGGCCCTTTAAGGCTGGGCTCCTGCAGGCCGGGAACAAAGGCCCGGGAATGTGGGCTGGGCCGCCAGCTGAGCCACCCAGCCTGAGTCATTTCTGTTTCACGGGACTTGGAATTGCTGGCTCTCTCTTGCTGCCTCCTCTGGCCCTGGCCCCAGCCCTCTCCCAGGCTGCCCGTGGCCCCCGCTGCTGCCTGCTGGAGGGGGGCAGCCTCTCCCTGAGCTGCCATGGTGTGGGGAGGGGAGGGGAGGACCCCTCTGAGCCCCAGGCCCTGGCCCTAGCTCCTAGGCTTGTTCAGTGTGCCTCCTCTCAGAGCAGGGACTGGGGGGCTAATACTCCACTTCTGGGCCCAGCTGTGTCTTGGGTTTGGCTCTTTGAGTCTCAATTTCCACATCTACAAAGTGGGAGGAAAATCCCATCTCCCAGGGAGTAGTGACTTTGTTTCTCCCCAAAAGGAAAGACAGAACTCCAAGCTCTTAGCACCCTCACTCCCCCACCCCCTCCTGGTCTGAGATCAGTCCTTCAAAGATCCTCTGTTACTCCCTATTTTATGTCTTTTTTTTTTTTTTTAAGATTTATTTATTTATTTATTTATACAAGAACCAGGGTACAGGCCAGAATCGCAGGAGGGTGAGAGAACTCACCAGAGACAAAGCGGAGAACAGAACAGGCAGACGGACGAAATACACTGCTGAGGGGAGCAGCGGGCGCGACAGGAGAGGTCTATTTTGCCATGTGGGACCCTTGCAGACTGGCCGGGATGGAACCCGCGCTACAGAGGCTGCAAACAGTTTCACAGTGCGGCACTCAACCACCTGTGCCACCAGGGGAGGCCCCTTATTTTATGTCTTATTCCCTCCTGCGCACTCTACCCCCACTTTTACCAGAGGACAGCAGGAGGGCCTGCCAGCCCCAAGAATTCCTTTTTTTTTTTTTTGCAGCTCTGACCTACACCCCAGCTCTTGTGTGCATAAATAAATGAAATAAATTTTTTAAAAAATAAAAATAAAATATACACCCCTAAGAAAGGCAGCCCACCACAATCCTCCCAACCAATGACACCAAGCATCGGTTGGGGAGTTTTGGTTGACATCAAGAGGAAGCACTCGGTGGGTGTAGCTCCAAAGTTCTATTCCAGAACACCAGCAGGGGTCTGGACTACAGAGGACATAGATTTGGTAATGGGGTAGAATGAGGTGAGGGGGTTAGCAGATACCGCAGATCCATTGCATCTGTTCCCAGTTTGTCCCACTCCCTGACCTGGCCCAGCACAATCATTTCCCTCTCTGCTCCTCACCCTTTCCTGTTACCCAGACCTCCCTGTTACCCAGGCACCCTTGCCAAGTCCCAGCTCCCAAGGCTGGTGTGGATTCCATCCCTTGAAGTCATGGTTTACTCCATTGTTCTGCCAGACAACTATTTATCCCTTAATCCTGTTGGCCTATAGTTTTGTTTCTTTACAGAACTTAAGTTGACCAGGAAAGGAATGCCTCTTTTAACAGAAAAGTAAACATATTTTTACATTGTTTATTGACATTATGGTCAGTAGGGACCACAAACTCCACCAGATCATGTTGTCCTTCCTTGGAAACAAGATTACAAGGTAGATGTTTCTTCCAGAGGAGCAAGTAACTGTCCTACCAAGACACCATGGAATCCATGACTCAGTGTTGAAGACCTAGAGTGCCCTGTGGGGAAGGAGCAGGCCCAGTTGGGAGGTTGAGACTTGGGGATTTGTAGCAGCCAGGAGGG